GATGAAACCAGTTCGTATCAAGCCCGAGATATAGAAACAACCCACGTACACACAGAAACAACGAACCGTTTGCAATCGAAGTCTGATAACAAGACTTGCAACAATTGTGGAGGAGAATGGCCGCACAAAAATCAATGCCCCGCACAAGGGAAAACATGTCGCAAGTGCAACAAACCGAACCACTTTCAATCAGTTTGTAGGAGCTCAAAATTCTCGAAGCAGAAACAAAGACGTCCTGCACATTCTCGCAAATCACATGCAGCGGTGAGACCTTTGCAGCATGAGGATAATTCTAGTGACGAGGAATACCTGTATACGGTCTCAAATGGCAACGACAAATTATCAAAACGCAGCCCTGTGGTTAATGTTGTGGTCGAGGGTCACAAGTTCAACATGATATTGGACACCGGATCCACAATCAACGTTATCGATAGAAATACTTTCGAAAAGATGCACGGAGTCAAGTTACAACAAACCAAAATAAAAGCTTTTCCATTCAACTCTTCGAAACCAGTTTGTTTTATAGGAAAATTTGAATCGATGATCACAACAAAATCTCGCTATGGAGTTGCAACATTTTATGTCCTAAAAGATCGTCATGCTGGTTGTTTACTTTCAGCCAATACAGCACAAGAACTTGGAGTCATAACGCTGAAATTGAACAAACTTTCAGTTTCAGCAACCCCTACAAAACATATTGATCCGCAAATTGATGCCATTATTCAACGTTTCAACAAAGTCTTTGAAGGAACTGGTAAACTGAAGGGGTACTCGGTGAAGCTAAACATCGACGAAAAGGCAATACCACGTGCACAACCGCAAAGGAGAATTCCTTTTCATTTGAGAAAGAAAGTTAAAGAAGCTGTCACCCAGCTGGAAAAAGAGGGGATCATTGAAGCTGTACCAGAAAACGCGCCTTCGCAGTGGGTATCTCCAATCGTCGTAGTACCGAAAAAGGATGGATCTGTTCGTCTTTGCGTAGATATGCGTGTGCCAAATACTGCAATAAAACGTGTACGTTATCCGATCCCTACATTGAATGATATCAGCATTCAACTCAATGGTGCCAAATATTTCAGTAAATTGGATCTAAACCAAGCTTACCACCAGCTACCATTACACATAGACAGTCGTTTTATCACTACCTTCAGCACACACGTAGGACTTTATCGATACACTTGTCTCAATTATGGGACAAATGCTGCTATGGAAATTTTCCAGCATGTTTTACAAGAAACTTTACAAGGTATAAATGGAGTGCTGAACATCGCAGATGACATCGTAGTTTTTGGCAAAACTCGCAAGGAACACGATTTAGCTTTGCAAAATTGTTTGCAACGTCTGCATTCAAAATGCCTTACGCTAAATCTCAAGAAATGTAACTTTCTACAGAAATCAATTCAGTTTTATGGACAAATTTTCACAGAACATGGTACGCAGCCAGATCCAGCACGCATAAGCGATCTTCAGAATGCACCAATACCTACCAGCATCAAAGAGGTACGAAGCCTGCTCGGAATGGCAAACTATAGTGCTAAGTACATCCAAGATTTTGCGACGCTCACTGCACCACTTCGAGAGTTGACAAAAAAGAATACACCATTCGTATGGCAAGCAGTTCAACAGAAAGCATTTGAAAACATAAAATTGGCTCTGTCAGAAGCTCCCGTTATGTCGTATTTCGATACCAATAAAGAAACTTTCGTTACGGTGGACGCAAGTCCCGTAGGTGTGTCCGCAATTTTGAGTCAAGCAACCAAGAACAGTGATGATTACAAGGTTGTTGCTTACGCCAGTCGTGGACTGTCCGATACTGAGAAACGATACTCGCAAACGGAAAAAGAGGCTCTAGCCATCGTTTGGGCCGTAGAACATTTTCATTTGTTCCTATATGGCAACGAAGTTACTTTGATTACAGATCACAAACCTTTGGAAACCATTTACGGCAGTTCAACCTCTAAGCCGTCCGCGAGGATTGAGCCATGGGTTTTGCGACTACAACCTTATTCGTTTAAAGTGCAGTACAAGGCAGGAAGCGAGAACTCTGCTGATTATCTATCCAGACACCCCTCCAGTCAACAATCGCGAAAACAAGAAAGAATTGCGGAGGAGTACGTAAACATGATTACGAGTCACTCTGTGCCTAAAGCTATGTCGCTAGACGAAATAGCGAGTGCTACCAACACTGACAAGACATTGCAAGCATTGCGAGCCGCTATACGAACAAATAGATGGCAAGCATCTGATCGTTTAAAGCCTTATTGTGCAATCAACGATGAGCTCACTGTTGGTGCGAAGGGAATTGTTTTGAGAGGAACACGTTTAGTTATACCAGAGTCACTTCAGCAACGAGCTATAGATATTGCCCATGAAGCTCACCAAGGTCTTTCCAAAACAAAAAGTCTATTACGAGAAAAAGTATGGTTCCCAGGTATGGACAACCTAGTTCAGCATACCCTAGATTCGTGCCTGACTTGTCAAATTGTCGGCAAACCATCGCCACCAGAACCTCTGCAACAAACTGATTTTCCTAAAGGACCATGGGAAACTGTTCATATCGATTTCTGCGGACCGCTTCCTTCAGGAGATCATCTTTTAGTCGTCATTGATCGTTATTCGCGATTTCCGGAAACCGAATTTGTGCGATCCACGAAAGCATCAACTGTCATTCCGAAGCTGGACAAAATATTTTCGGTACACGGCATACCACGTGAATTAAAGACAGATAACGGTCCACCATTCTCGAGTGAAGAGTTTGCACGATATGTAAATATCCTCGGTATAAACCATAAACCTGTCACACCTTACTGGCCGCAGGCAAATGGAGAAGTCGAACGCTTTAATCAGCCTCTCATCAAAGCCGTACAAAGCGCAGTGGCAGATGGTAAGGTATGGCAACAAGAACTGAACCGTTTCTTGTTCCAGTATCGTAATACACCTCACAGCACAACGAAAATTGCGCCATCAGAGTTGTTATTCAACAGGAAAGTACAAGGAAAATTTCTTACTTTAGAGAACAATCGCGTAATAAATCGACACAAAGAAGCTAGAATAAACGAGGAACGCAGTCGATCATACCAAGAAACATATGCAAACAAACGCAGAAAAGCAAAGAAGAGCAACCTTCAAGTTGGAGATACTGTTCTTGTCCGCCAACAAAAAAGGGACAAACTAACGACACGATTCAGCAAAACGCAATACAAAGTCGTAAACCGTAAAGGTACGCAGATAACTGCAGAAGACAGTAATCATCGTCGTGTAACTCGCAACGTATCATTTTTAAAAAAATTACGCGCTCAGATGTCGGATTCCGAAGATGCCAATCAATCAAATCGAGCCACATACGCTTGTGAACAAGAGGTTCCTAGACCTGCTGAAAGACTAGTTAGAAAACGTTATGCACCAGTACGATATGGTGAACCAATACCATTGGGCACTTTGTAAACAGTATACGAAAAAAAACTTCTTTAAAAGGAGGAGTGATGTAGTAACCTAATTGACTATGCGCAGGAGCATTACTTTATGTGACCCATGTTTATATAGTTTCAGATTACAGTTGACAGTATTACAGTTATGTGTGTAGGCCGTTTGAAGTTAATATAAAGTTATCGTTTTGTTTCTGTTCAACCCATGCGTTGTTCTATCTCCTTCACATCTTAACAGCTTAAAAACTATTGAAAATACTGAATTTAAGAGCACCTCAGAATGGCTTTCTGCTAATCAATTAACAATCTTTTGGTGGTACAAAACTTAAAAATGGCTTTGAAAAAAGCAAACATTTAGTAAACTAAAGCTTTTCGTCTGACACTCTGACACATGAATAATGCGACATCTTAATTTTCTTTCAATATTCGTTGAATGAGAAAATGTCACCTGTTGATAGAAGTGGTTTGAATCTTCTGTATGCTACAGTCATAGAACATTCTATTTGCTATTCAAATCATTCTATTTTGCTGCAAAAGTTGAAGCATTTTAGGCTTCAGAAGTAACAAAACATCATTAATTGCAGACATTTTATGGTTACTGTTGCCTAGATAAAATTCAATAGCCGTTCAAAATTTATGATTAATCAACCAGTTGCTCAACCAAATGAATCTTACATATTCATGTAATTCAAAAGGATATCTATTGACTGTGGGTGGTTAATAAAGACTACATCAATATTCTGTTGATAAACTTATTCTTTTCAAGCGATGACCAAGTTCATGTGAGCTGGTTGTGGTTTTCTGCAAGAAAGAAAACGACATAGAGATCAGAATTTTAATATGTCATTTTAAAAACTTATTAAAAAAGAAATTGAATTGAATTAACATTTTATTATGTATAAATGGAAGCAATCAGTTATTTGAACCATTTTAAGAATCATTTTGAAAACAAATCTGTTATGATTCAACAACATGGAAATCTGTTGACACGACCTGTGCAAATATTCCTGTTTCGAAACTCCTGTTGCAGATAAATTTTCATGGCCTATGTATAAAACACCATTGAAGATTGTAAATTTCAGCGATTTACTATTAGTATACTATCCTTTTTTGACTTGCTTATCAGGATTTTTCATGTTCTTATGCCACAAAAGTAACTTTTCACAAAAGGAGCATTAAGAGAATGACAATTCGTTTGGTTGCAGTGTCGTTTGATAACATGAAGTCATCTACGAGATTACTATCACAGGAATATTGCTAGGTGTAAGCTGAGTTCATTCAATAAAGCATAGAAACAGCTCGTTTCTATAGGACTTAATTTGATTCTCTGGGACTAATATTTCTTTGTAGCCTTTTCCTGAGATTATATTAAAAAAAACCTTATAAAGATGAATTTTTAATCAACTTTAAGAGAGAAAATGAGGCATCGACAAAGATAAATATGAAAATATACTTACTCTGAACTGGCGATCTTTAATTGATATCCCTTTGTCAAATAAGAGTACATTCCAAGCAATCTCAAAAGATTCGCATAGAATATCATTTTTTAAAAATATTTTTCAATCACACAATTTACTTGATTACCTTAAACCATGAGAATGATAGAAACTTATTCCGCCTGAGAACAAACCTCATCATCTACTATATTTTTAATTATAAGTCAAACACAGCTCAAAGAAGGTTTTTAACTAGGTAAATGTTTTTCTTCTGAAAATAAGTACCAAGATTGTATTTGATAATTGCCATAATTACCGAAATAAGTTGCATACCTTATGATTCATATAATACTAGAATCAAACTATCAAAGTGATTATATAATTTTTTACAAAAGCAATTATACGGGCCTTACTTTTAGCTTTTTTTTGCCTAAGGACAGGGCAGACTGCCTATTTGCATTTCAGCACAATCAACATTCGGAATTTGAATAAATTTAGATTGCTCTTTGCGTAGCAGAATCAAAATATTCATTGTTAATTGTTTAGCAGAAGTGATCATAAAAAAACCCAAAGGTATGACTGATGTCGACAGCAATTGACTGATATACAATATGAAATTGCCATTTGCTGCAGAAGCCAATGAACTTTGCACAGGTCATGTTTGCTGTCTAGAATACGTCCAAAGTTTGTAAGAAATGAGAAATCGATCAAATTTATATAGTTTTTTTGACAAAGCATGGACCTGCGAAAACATTATTCTTTAAAAGCGGATATGATTGTCTTAGATTTGCTTTCCTAATTTCAAGCAACATGTTTTTCTGTTGAGAACTGGTTGAGCAACTATAAATTATCAAACTTAAAATCACACCAAAATTTACTACATGTTGCAATGATGTGACTTTTTCGTGGCTACAAAACCTTGTTGTTAACTTTTTGAAAGCTAAGGTTAATACGTCCTAGCATCAAATGAAAGAGTGCCTTCGTTTTAAAAAAAGGCTTAAATAGAATGACACGTTATGAGTTTTTCATATACATACAGAACAGGCAAAGTTGACGTTGCTAGGGTATCAACATTGTTGTGGTTTCAATGTATCGATTAAGGTCTATTTAATACAGTATGGGCAAAATATACCACCTGTCTTTTATTTGCTTTACAAGCAAATAGAAACATTTAAAAGGGGTGCTTCAATATGTCATGACACAACTATAAAGCTGCAATGCACATTGTTCGTATCTTAATCAATAAATGACCGTGGATATGGAACGTTTTTTCTTATTCCTTGTGTTCTTCATTTTCGCACAAAATAAGCTTGTTGCAGGCACAAACTTTGGAGTGTCAAAGACCTATTACATTCGCCATTTTGATGGAAAGTGCTTAGAGTACGATGAGGTCCGTCAGGTCCTGGTTTACGGTCGACTTTGCCGAGAAAAGTTCCAATGGCAGGGAGGAGCAAGACTCATCCATATACCAACAAAGAAATGCATCACTGTCAATGCAACAAGCGATGGAAGCTTCTTGTCTTTGTCAAGCCAATGCAGTGGCACAAACAGTCTGTTGCAATACGATGAAAGCAATCGAGTGATTCGGCATCTTGTCTCCAACAAATGTTTGCATCCAGCAACTGGAGATGCTGATCCTACAAATAATACTGCAATTGTCCTGAAGTCAGGCTGCGACGAAAACATCAACAAATTCTACTTCAGAAAGAAAGCCTACTATATCATCCGGCATTTTGGTGGACTATGTTGGGTTTATAACTCTGCAGAGAACTTGATCAAACTGATGAATCCATTTGCTTGTGATCGCTTTGAGTATTTGAATAAGTACCATTTGAGGCACGTTGAAACCGGCAAATGTGTTATTTTTTCAAGCTCATATATGCGACTGACTGACGACTGTGAATCTCCAGAAACAATTTACAAACTCAACCAGTTTTCTCTACTTGAGCATGCACCAACTAATTGTATACATCCGTTAAATGGAGCTTTATATCCTGCCAATGGAAATTTGCTTTCCCTATATAGCAATGGATGTACTGATGAAGACCGCTTGAGATTCTCCTTCCTTGACGATAAAGGTAAACCATTTGTTATATATCAAAATAGATAGATGTAAATTCATCATAGCTCTCTGGCTACATAGCTCTCTGGTGCTCTACCATTATCTTGGCTATATGTGCTCTATCATAATCTGTTAACACTCGTGCATTGTCTTGTGCACAACATTGTTTCTGTACAATGGGCTTCTTTGATCTGTTGATATCATGTGGATGTTGCACAATACAACCTTATAATGTAGCCATGTTGAATTCTTTTTGTTTGTGATTAGGCCTAATTAGTTTTCAGCATTATACGCCATTACTTTTACTATGGTTTACTGGAAGCTCGGAACTTCCAGCAAACATACTTCTTCAATTCAAGTGAAAAGAGGCTCCCATTAAGTAAACCAAGATAAATACTATTATAGTTCTTTTGTTTTATCTTGATTGAACGTTGTCTATTATTTGCCTATTATAAATTTAAGATCGCTGATTCGCAAAGACCTTCTTTATAAATAAACTTTAGTTTTAGGCTAGAAATTACCAAACCCATTCGAATGTGAACAGAACCTTTTTATGTGGAAGGCCATGCTTTGGGCCTGACTCAGGGATGTTATGCTAGGGAGCTTAGGGGGGTTAGACCCCCTTGTTAATGCCCAAAAATTGGCGAATTTCTACTTTTGCTATTCTTTTTGCAAAATTTTGTACAGGAGCCCCTCTTGTTATTTTGGTAGCACTACACCACTAGGCTGAATGGTATTGTGGCTATCATTACTGAAAAAAATGGTTTCAACATGATTTATCTTGAGGCCTACCTGGCAACACGGCTACTGGTTGTGTCGAGTTTTGTGGAGTTCTGAAACTCGCCAAAGCAAAGATGCCATGGCTTGACCCTTTTCGATTCCAACACAGTCACCGCCATGAGTTTCTATTTTGTTCGAATAGTCTCTTATTTATTTTTCTACCAATTTCTTCCCTCAAAGTTGAGGAATTTTTTTCTAGTTACTTGCCGTGACAACTTTTGCCATGTGGAGGAATAATCTATTCACTCTGTGCTCCATTCATTCATTTGATTTGGTAATAAAAGTTCTTCATAAAAAAATATTTAAATTAGAGCTTCCGAAAAGAAGATTGACAGAAAAAGATCAAACTACAAAAGTATCACAGCCGGATAAAGTCGGGGTGTTGCGTCGCTCGTCTGTTTCGGCCGGATCTTCTCGGGACTTCTTCTTTGGCCGCTTTCCAGCGCGCCCTATCATCTGCGTCTTCCATCGTGCATCTTTTTTCCTCAAGTCTGCCGTGACGACCAGTGCGATGTTGTTCACTGGTCATCCCTTACTTCTCGCTTTTTCATTTCTCACTAGCTCATACTTTTCCATCGCTTCGCGGGCAGGCCCTTGGTGGCGCAGAGTGTGTCCGATGAAGGCCCATCTTCTGCGTGCCACTTCGTTGGATGCTTTCTCGGCTCCTGTTCTGCGGTAGAGTTCGTCGTTCGAGATTTTCGAGGGATAGAAAACTCGCATTACTCTCCGCAGGAGTCTTCGATGAAAGGCATCCAGAGAGTCCTTGTCCGCTTCACCGAGGTCCCACGTCTGGCAGTTGTAAAGCAAAACTAGTTTAACATAGACGTTGAACGCTCGCACTCTTGTTCTTGCAGCCAACTTTTCGTTCGTCAGCGTATGGTGATGTTGTGTGAAAGCTGCCTGCGCCATGTTTTTTCTCTCTTTCATTTCACGTTTCAAATCCGTATACGATCCCAGTATCTTGATGTTATCATTTTTCCTTTTTGTTAGCTTATGCTTCTCAGTCTTCTGCTGATTGACAACCAAATCAAAGCTTCCGAGTACTTGGCCTGCGTCCGCTTCAATTTTCTCTATTGCTTCAGCGTTCTGTGAAAAGAAATTGGTATCGTCGCTATAGCACATCTCCACCACCTCTTCGAAGAAATTGGGCACATCTTTCTTGAGCTCGGCAAGGGCGGCTTCCAGGTATACCGTGAACAGCGTGGGTGATAGTGCGACTCCTTGGGGCGTGCTGGTGTTAGTGTGAAACCAATGCTGCTCTTCGCCGACCTTGATTTTGAGCCTTGTTTCTGATAGGTGTTTTTTTATCATTCGCATTTCATCTTCATCTACCAGCCCCTCCAATACGTTCAACATCTTACTTCTTGCCATTGTGTCGAACGCTTTGGACATATCGAGTGCTAACATCTGATATTCCTCGCCGAAATATTGACAAATCGAGTGAATATATTTGGCAGCGAATACATTTTCAGCAGTTGAGTGCTTTGATCGATAGGCGGTTTAGCTTGGTGGGAGGAAATTTTCGACTTTTGGTTTTATCCGAGCCAGCACAACGTTTGCGAACACCTTCCGCACCGTATCTAAAAGGATTACGGGTCGGAAATTTGCCGCCTCGTTCGATTTTCCTGGCTTTCGGAGGGGCACCAGCATTCCGTCCCCGATGTCGACCTCGGCCCCGGTCTCGAAATGACTGTTCATGATGACCACCAGTTCTTCTGTCACCTGATGTTTGAGAGTCTTCAGATTTTCAGCCGGTATGTCGTCTGGACCAGAAGCCTTTCCGTTTTTGAGTTTTGTGATGGCTGCCTCCACTTCGGCCGCTGTGATGAGCGTGTTCAGTGGTTTGGGCATGGCTACATCATCTACCTCGCCATTTTCATTGAAGAAAACTTCTGTGAAATGTTGTCTCAGCTCTTTTTCCATGGCTTGTTGATCATTTTTTTCTTCCCCTGTGCCGAGCTTGATGGTTTTCGGAGCCTTGGTTTTCCTTTTTAGCAGCTTTATCGCCTCGAATGCCAGGCCCTCATCAGATTTTTCTTCAAGAATCTTGATTTTTTGCTCTATTCTGAAAGTTGCTCTGTCTCTAGTTAGATGTCTCAGCCTTTTGTTCATAGCATTTCTTGCAGTCTTCATCTCACTTCTCAATTCAGCTTTCATGGTATGTTGTTTCATTCTTCGATGGATCTCATTTTTGTCCTTGTAGAGCTTCTCTATCTCCGAGCATGAAGTGGTTGCCTTGAGACTTTGAATTGGCTTTTTTCTGGGCAGTCTTTTCATGCTTTCTTGCATGGCCATCCTTAAGTTTAAAAGACCCTCCTCTTTGTTGTTTGCCCTATAGTTAGAGAAACTCTCTCTTACAACTGTTATTTGCTCTTGGTCTTGAAGTGCTTCCAAATCTGGCTTTGAGCTAGCTTGGTACCACCCCTTCTTTTTGCCCTGAGTTTCTTTCATTTGCATGCTTGCAATTACCATTCTATAGTCTGTCTCAATTTCTTGGCTGTTCTGACTTTCACTGTTTGTAATCAGGTGTCTTAGATTGTTGGGGACCATGATGTAATCAAATTGATTGTATATCTTTTTGGCCCCTGCTTGCCCACACCAAGACGCTCTTGATCCAAACTTCTTTTTGAACAGGGTGTTTGTCAATACCATATCTTTCCTTTGAGCGAAACTCAGCAGATCAGCACCTCCTGTGTTTTGGGTACCCGTTGAAAAGCGGCCTGCATTGTTGGGATATGTATCATCACATCTTTTCCCCACTTTCGAATTGAAATCCCTCAAGATGATGTTGGTACTTTGGGGACACCATGCATCTTCTATTTCTTTGTAAAACTTTTCCCTCTCTTCCGGATACTTATCACATACTGGGGATGTTGGAGCATATCCCACTATACAGTTCACATTCAGGTTTGGCAAATTCATTTTGACTGAGGCAACTCTGTTTGATATACACTTCCATTTGGTGTCTTCAACTTTTCTAATACAAAACCCCACCCCATGGTGGACTGAGGTGGATGGCATCATAATCATTTGGTTCTTCTTGTTCTCTTCGATCCATGCTTCTTTAGGTACCATCTTTGTTTCCGTAATTCCCAAACAAACCAAGTTTCTGCGTTCCATTATTTCCTTTGAGCGAAACTCAGCAGATCAGCACCTCCTGTGTTTTGGGTACCCGTTGAAAAGCGGCCTGCATTGTTGGGATATGTATCATCACATCTTTTCCCCACTTTCGAATTGAAATCCCTCAAGATGATGTTGGTACTTTGGGGACACCATGCATCTTCTATTTCTTTGTAAAACTTTTCCCTCTCTTCCGGATACTTATCACATACTGGGGATGTTGGAGCATATCCCACTATACAGTTCACATTCAGGTTTGGCAAATTCATTTTGACTGAGGCAACTCTGTTTGATATACACTTCCATTTGGTGTCTTCAACTTTTCTAATACAAAACCCCACCCCATGGTGGACTGAGGTGGATGGCATCATAATCATTTGGTTCTTCTTGTTCTCTTCGATCCATGCTTCTTTAGGTACCATCTTTGTTTCCGTAATTCCCAAACAAACCAAGTTTCTGCGTTCCATTATTTCCTTTGAGCGAAACTCAGCAGATCAGCACCTCCTGTGTTTTGGGTACCCGTTGAAAAGCGGCCTGCATTGTTGGGATATGTATCATCACATCTTTTCCCCACTTTCGAATTGAAATCCCTCAAGATGATGTTGGTACTTTGGGGACACCATGCATCTTCTATTTCTTTGTAAAACTTTTCCCTCTCTTCCGGATACTTATCACATACTGGGGATGTTGGAGCATATCCCACTATACAGTTCACATTCAGGTTTGGCAAATTCATTTTGACTGAGGCAACTCTGTTTGATATACACTTCCATTTGGTGTCTTCAACTTTTCTAATACAAAACCCCACCCCATGGTGGACTGAGGTGGATGGCATCATAATCATTTGGTTCTTCTTGTTCTCTTCGATCCATGCTTCTTTAGGTACCATCTTTGTTTCCGTAATTCCCAAACAAACCAAGTTTCTGCGTTCCATTATCTCAAAAATTTTCTGACGTTTCATTTGCGAAGCACAACCCCTAACGTTTAGGGTTGCGACATTTGGCAGATTGATCCTCTTCTTCTCTCTTCTTGATGACATCAGAGTTGTTAGACTCGTGCCGGCGTCACTCGGCAGCAACGGAAAATGAACATTATCAAAAGGAAGTGGTGAACCCCCCCCCCCCCCCAAATTTCAAGACGGTGAAAGTTCTCTGATTGGAGCAAAATTCACTGGAGTGGAGTACACATGCGTTTTCTGATTGGTCAGAGAAGGAATTTTGCATGATAAAATAGAGCAGAGTGGAATGTATACTTCTAGCGCCACTCGAAACATCACGATCATCAATTGGTGGTGGTCTGCAGAATAAACCTTAGAAAGCCGGGGGCATATTGTCTTCTTGACTAAAGATGGCAAATAGAAATGAACAACATGCATGAGTCGGAAAGTCAAGGACATACCATAAACAATACAAATTTGCGAGTGAATTAAGTGACAAAAAGTTTGCAATTTTTTAGAAACTTTCACCCTTATATTATTATAATCATTTTTGAAAAAAAGGAGAATTGACATGCGCTATAAAAAAATCTGGCTGGAGCACTTGCCCCCTTTGCCCCCTTTGCCCCCGTCTGGATCCGCGCCTTGTGGTCTATGGCGGTACTTTGAAAGGAGCCAGGCGTAATCAATAATTTAGGCGCTGTAATCTTAAGCCTGAAATACACGATCAGTTTTTATCAGTTTTTAACTGACAGTTTTCAGTTTTCAGTCAAAAACTGATCGTGTATTTAGCAAAAACTGATAAAAACTGATGCATTGATGACCTTCAGTTCTTGAATGAAAAATTTGAACACGTCCAACTTCGTCAGTTTTTAACTGATGGGATTTCTATTCATTTATGTAGACTCCATTGTTTAAAGCTGGCGCCCCTATAATTCCCTTGCGCAAGGTGCCAATTTTTTAGAGCAGCGTGGATAAGTGCGATTTAAAGATGGCGAAAAAAGTTGTGAATACAGATGATTTCATAGAAGCGTAGAGGGAAGCTCCAACAACTCGTCAAAATTTTCAAGCGTCATTCTCAATAATTTTCTATATTCTGCTTCATCGTCCGATCTTAACTCTTGTAGAAGAGCGTCGTAAACACCGAGGTTAGTCCTCATACTCAACCATGCCTTCACCCAAACAAACCTTGTTTTTTTTTCGATATTTTCGCCTTTTTGACGAACAGAGCCGCAGCCAGAAGAACTGCAGTTGTTTCTTGATCAAGCTCCCTTTCCAAAAAGAGCCGAACTAATCAAAACGTGAACTCATCTTAAAAATGAAGAAAACGATGGACACATTATTATAGATGGACACAAATAAAAACTCGCAATGTCTAACTACTCCTCCATTTTCGATTTCACCATGATTCAAACTTTCCACAATCCCATCCTCCACCGTTCTCTGTTTTTGTCCTCTCTGTTTTTGTCCTCTCTGTGTTCGATGGCTACCTCTCCTTCGCAGATATTGTTCTCCTTTCCAGAGTGTTTCAAGTTGTGTTTTTCCCTCAGTGCTCTTACATACTCCTTCGACCATTGGCTCCATAGGTTTTGCTTGCACGCTTCTCGGGGTATTTGGCTCTTTTTCTCAAATCCATGTTGTCTATGCCATCAACTGCTTCGGTTATCATCGAATTCTTGTGTCCCAGGATCTTTAGGTTTGGGGCTTACTCTGGCAGTTCGATATCTTCTTCAACGTAGCACAACAGCCTGTTGTTTAGTGTTGTTTCTACATCTAGTTTAACATCTTTCAACTCGTGAAGGTCGAGATTTGCTTTGCCAAAGACTTTAAACATGGCAAATCTCTTTATAAGACCTATAATTCGTTCGACTGTCCTCCCCCACCAGGAGGCTTTACTTAGGTTGAACTGTGATTCTATTTTGCTCAAGTAAGATAGTTGTCAACTTCTTCAACTATCATTATCTTCTTTCTCTTTCTTGAAGTATCTATGAATGTTTTCGCATTGTCAGGAAAGATCTTGCTAGGATGCCCTCTTCTTGCAATGAATTCTTTCAAGCAAATCATAAAGTTGTCAGGTCTGTAAGAACAGTTATGTATATAGCTCTAATTAAACTGCATGCGCACAGTGCAAAATATGATTTTTCCTTCCGTCTTTACTATAACTTTGTAAGTTTAGGGGCCTGCAAAATCCACCCCAACGATTTTGAACGGTCTTGATCCTTCAGTGCGGTCTTTCGGTAACATCCCTGCTTGCGGTTGATTGTAAACCTTAACCTGAACCTCTTGCATCAATGACAGTTGCGTAGTGTCCTTTTTACCAGTTGCCTAAGTCTTGAAATCCAATAGTTCTGGCGTACAAACTTCATCGTCAGGCTTACTCCCCCATGCAATGTTTCAACAATCTACGCATCTGCTACAAGCTTTTCACTGAACAATGAAGTTGATGGCAAAAATAGGATAGCTTTGCACTCTTCTAACCCACCACTTTATCTGACTATGAATCTCTCCCGTTGTCAGTGGCCTCTTGACTATTTCAATCATCTTTGTTCCACATTTAGTTGTGAATCTGTTGATCCATGTCATCAGCCGTGTCGTCTTCCAATTTATATATGCTTCTCAAGCATTTCGTCAAACTCATCGTTTAAATAACTCAAAGCTTCTGTTGACAACAACGATTGATATGTCAACGACTTGCTTTGCCTCAATTTCTGGCTCTTCTGTTTTCTAAATATCTTTTGGCAAACTTTCTTCATCTGACAACCATTCTCATCCACTGATCCATGTCTTTGATATTCTATCTCCATGACAGCCACTGTTTCCGATATCAGCAAGGTTCTCTAATGTTTTTACATGCCTCCATTTTATAAAGGACTTCTCGTGGATTTTCCTAACTGTATTATTCACAAACTGCTTGTAAGTTTCTTGTCCCTTAATCCAATATAAAGCAACTAAGCTATCCAACCAGCCCTAACAGGATCTGACAGGTAACTAAGAAAGACAAGCTTTCATGTTTGCAGGAAAATTAGCTGCCATGCAGGGGCGGATCCAGGAATTTTTTCGACTATAGCTCAAATCTTTTAGGATTAGGACCACGCCCTTCTCATTTGCGGGGCACGCCCACTATATGGACAAATGCTGTAACCATATAATTCTCGGTTTCCAATACATGCCATGATTTTTGAAATTGTTGACAGCAAGTTTTAAGAGCTCAAAAGCGCAATTGTCAAATGCTATTTACAATGTAACATATGAAAGGACACAATAACAGACAAAATATATTTGAAAATAGCACTTATAGAAACATCATGAGCATGGCAAATGCACTCCCTAATTATTTTTTTCTAAAACAAGTTCGAAATTTGATCAACACAACTATCATAACGAAAATCGTTTCTGTCATGGTTGAAATAAGCAAAAAGCAAATGCAAATCATAAGATCCGAAATCACAAAAGACAGTCTATCTGACACCATCTAAACTGCAACGTCGTCGATTTTCTCGTCGCCTGGATCCTCGTTCAGAATGTCAATCAGCCTCATTCGTTTAGGTCGTTCTGCTGCAAATTGGTTAATTACCCTGTTTATGTCAATAGGTATTTCTCGGTGAACGTGTATCATTGCTAGTGCACTCATTCTGCTTTGTCGCATAGTGTTCCTGAGGTATGTTTTCAGCCTCCGCAGAATAGAAATGGATCGTTCACAGGAGCAAGATGTGACAGGCAATGTAGCAGCAATTTTCATAGCGGTGTAGATATTTGGAAAAGTGAGCTGGTCAATAGATGATAAAAGGGAAGCTAGAGTGGTAGGAAGAGGTTGTACACATGGTTTCCCACATTTTTAACTCAGTTGTAAGGTAAAATGGATCCGGGAGATCGCTTTTGAACATTTTTAAAATTTTAGAAAACTTTGCTTCCCAGTCACTTGCAGACACAACTTTACTTGGAAGGCCAGAAAACACATTCAAAGATCGAGATTCGTTTTGAAAAATCGTCTTTGCATTTCACTGACGCAAAATTCAAGAAATGGAACTGATACAGCTCGTCGATAGTAATCGGAAGGATTGTCAGCTGGGGTGTTTTCTCGATTCTTCTGAAGCTTGGTAGTGCGTGGCTGTGAAGGAAGAGTACCAACCTTGTCTGCCAGCACTATAGCTTTTCTATACCAAACATCGTGTTCTTTGACAATGTCTCTCCTCACCCTTTGAAGCATGGTATAGAGAAGAGTTATGTTATCAAAGGCAGCAACAACATCCATCTCACTTGCCTGCAGTTGTTGTGTTAGAGGCCGGGTGTACTCTAGAATGCCGGACACGGTAACTAAGAAAACTATGAATTCCAATGATATAGTTGCAAAAAATAGATTGCTGGCATCTCTAATTGAATCGGTACTCCAACTTCCATCATCGTCATTTTTAATTGATTCAAGTGTGTCAACTATTGGCCAAAAAAGTTCGATAAACACACCTAACCCATCAATTCTAGCAACCTATCTGGTACGGCAAACATTGAGTAGCCGTCTATGACGCGCTTGTGGAAGAATACCTACGATGCTATTTTTCAACACTTTTGAACGTTTGGGGTGTGCTTCAAAAAATTGACTAACCACCCGCACCTGGCCCATCATGTTTCGGACTAACTGTAAATTGCACGACGATGCTACACATAGATTCAGAAAATGAGATTTGCAGTGAACATACAAGGCTTGGCTATACTTTTTTTTGTATCAAGGTGGCAGCACCAGTGCATTTGCCTGCCATGTTACCGGCTCCATCGTACCCTTGACCCCTGCAGTTATTCATGTCAAGCCCAAGCTCTTTAACTGTTTCCAAAATCTTCGCCGAGAGAGCTTTTTCAGAGAGTCCTTCGTTACATTGATAAAAACCAAGAAATGACTCTCTTATACGAGAGGTACTGTCTACAAATCTTATTACTATTGCCATTTGCTCGACAATGCTTATATCTGCAGCTTCATCTGCAAGTATTGAAAAATATCGTGCGTTCTTTATATCTTGTACTATGCTCGTTTCAATCATTTTTCCGCAAATTTGAATTAAAATTTCTTGGGTTGTTTTTGATCGGTACGTTGCATTTATAGAAGCGTTTTTTATGTGCTCATTAAAAACATGATTTTTTCCATACGTGGCTAGGTACCCCAATATAGCCTGCAAATTTCCAGGGTTGTTTTTTGTTTCATCGTAATGTTTGGAATCGTCACGATGGCCCCTTGTAGAAAACGTTTGTCTCCCACACAAAATAATAGCCCCAACAATTGGTATCAGTTTCTCTCGATTCTCCTGAATGCGTTTCAAAACAGCCTCATTCAGTTGGACATTAATTGGTTTTGCCTTATTTTCCATGCATTTGTGAAAGTTAACAGCTCTGACTGAAGAAGTTTGATGAAACCCAGACTTACTAGCATGGTCTTTCAATCTTTGCATAGCTACGGACCAATTTTGTAATAGAGACTTGAAAAGATGGTCAAGTTTTGCTGCATTGCGAGTGCTTTCTCTTAGTAATAGTAAATAAATAAAATTAGAAAATAAAAGCAAGTGAATTATTCCAATCATTAGTCTATTTATTTATACAAAGCCATTGTTGACACCATTTCTCCATTCCACACAATTTCCATAATTACCAGTGTATGACTCGTGGTTTTAAGACTTGAAGTTAGGCTCAAAACAGCACTTGACATATTACAAGGAGTTTGGCTGTCTGAATTTGCCCATGACACGTGAAATGTTTCGCTGCCAACCGTTCCAAGTACCTGGCAACCCTGATTGTGCAGGAAATGCACAGTAGTACCGCTCCGTTATACTTCCTGTGTCGATGTTCTAAGAAACTTTGAGTATAGACACAACCCGACGACAATCAAACTTAATAAACAACCAAATGGCTCCAGCAAAATTGATAATCGTTTCAAATTGAAGTTGAATACATGCATCTACATCCCATCTCTACTTACCGAATGGGTTTATTAATTTATTTAACTTTGACGCTTGGTGACGCGTGGCTGAAAAAACGCGCTGCGTGCGCATAGCTGCCGAAAATGCTAACCATATTTGGTCAGCGTCATGACGCGCCGCGCCGTGACGCGTCCAGTGTGAATTCAGCTTAAGGCAAATAAAAAGAACCTTCCACTTGGTTCGTTCTCTCCTTTTTCAATGATCCCATGTGCCTCCTGGTCTCTGATTATCTGATTGTACTTTATAAACAGCTCTGGTTCCCTTTCTAATTTATGACCTAATTCATTCTTGCGATACTTCCTGTCTTGTTATTTTGCAGTTCTCGGCATTTTGCTCTCCTTAAGAGCTCAGGCTCATAGCACCCTTGTAGATCTTGTCTTAACTGTTCTTTGAACGCACTTGAACGCACTGTAAACTGAATGATCCTCCTCTTGTTTGTTACGATCCTCAAGGCCTAACAAAGATGCTCATAGTCTCCAAGAGTGCTTCTAGAGAATAAAATCTGACTTTACTCTGTATCGACTCCTGGAGACATCAGTGTCTATCCTAATCTGGTTTGCTCTCCTACAAGATCTCCTGGTTTACCAATTTTTACCTTGGCATTCGTTTTGATCTTTGCAAACTCTGAGGCTCCCACGTTTAGGTGAACTTGAAGCTCTGGCTTTAGATCTATATCATCCATTCTCACTCCTTGCAAGTGTTGATACCTTCTAAGAACATCTTCGTATCTTGGATTCTTTATAGCTTAAAGCACCTCTCAACCTACTTACTTACATCAATCTCCAATTTTAAATCACTATTAATGCTGTTAACTTCCACATTGTAGATCTCTATGCGCTTGTATGCTGTACTCAGCATCCTATCTATTTGCCTAGTTTGTTTCAACACTGGCTTTATACCCAACAGGTTCACCAATGTGGCTGAGATATACGAACTTTCGACACCTGTATCTAACAGGGCTCTGCATTTTACTCCGTTTACGTTGTCGACAACAATTGGATACATTAATCCTCTTTCCCCTTTGGCTAAAAGAGATTGTTCAGCCTTCCTGTCACATATTGATTTTTGGTATCTGCCATCACAGATTTGGCAGCCATTTTTCATCCACGTTCTATGATTTTGTGACTGGATCCCATACAGCTGAAGCAAAGTCTAATTTTTCTTTTAGTTGTGCGAAAATAGGCTCAAAGTTTCTTACCTATTTTTGATGCTCCACATACCAACGTGAACGGGGCCACCCCCTTCCTCCAATTTCAACTCTTGCACGCATATTTTTAAATCCTCAAATTCGTTTATACGTTTGTTGTAGATCTCGAGTTGTCGACTGACCCTAATTTTTGCAGTATTTCGTCTGTTTCTTCGCCGATAAAGTTTTGACGACGGATTTTCTTCTCGAACTTCTTCTCCAAGTTTTCGCTGGATTTTTTCCCAATTAACATTTATTCAGAAGAATCCGATGGGAATTTTGGCTAATCTTTACGGAATCGAAATTAGATATACAATTCACAGGAAGTACTGACTACTGGCTAATATTTGATCAGCTATGCTATGTTCAAATTTTGCAAAAAGGGCACAGAGAGGTTATAGAGGTCCCTGGTGAAAAAAGAAAATGCAGATCACCTGCGAGCGAAGCAAACAGAAAATTTGACAATTACGCCCCTTAGATTAGCTTAAAATTCCTTTTCAGAACGATTTCTTGGAGTAATTTTGACACGTTAAACGGTTATCAATTATCCAACGAAAGGCCGAGAACCCCTCGCCCCCCGCCCACCCTCCCAAAGCCCCATAAATGCCACCACTGATCGCTTAGCTAAATTTTTTTGCAACGTTTTTTTCATTTTTTTATAAAAATGTTGTATGATGTTCAAATAAAAAGGTTCGAATTCGTGACAATCGAATCGAAAGATCATCGGGAGGAAGGGGGCAATTGCCCATGTGCCTGTAAGCAAGTTAATTTCATGAGGGATGTTGTAGAATTTGATTTCGGTAGGGGTTCTTATTTTAGCTTATTTGTATTATTCTCATTTGGGTATCAATTGTCTTGATTCAGTTTGGTATTTACGTCCTTATGTGCTACTTTGATGCCATTGGGAATAATAGAGAAGAAGGAATTCTGTAGTTTTGGCTTCTGCACGAAAGTGTGGGTCCCGTTACTGAAATAGATTTATTTAATTGCTTGGGTCGGGATTATCGTGCTTACTTTGTATGTTGCTTCCACGCTGTTCTCTTCTCCCGTCCCTCCCTCCCCTTTTGATATCAAACGTAGTGTGTTTCTTCAAATCCTTGTTTATTCTCAAGTATCAGGCTAGGGCCTGTTTACTTCACGGGATTCATTTCAAAGTTCTTGTTATTTTTCGTTTAGGAAAGACTAGGCTTTTAATTCAGTCATGTTTTCTCTTCCCCTCTCATATCTTAGGTATCTCAGGTAGGACTGATGCATCGGCTCTATGGTGGGAAAAAAAGTGAACTTTTCTTCTCCATTCCCTGCCCAGAACTTTAAGCTGCTTGTACTTTAATCTATTAAGCTATATTAAAGGTTAGGATTTGTACAGGCTAGGTGAAGCAACTTGTGCCGATGCACCAACGGCCCAACGCTGCTTCCTGTGATGAGGGTGTGTAGCCTCAAGACCTGATTTGATGAGGGATGTGGCAACGTCTTCTGAGGGATCTATTTTATCTCAATAAATGGGATGCATCTGTTGATGTTTTTCTCCGAGTAAGAAATTAATTCCAAATAAAAGAGCCAGTTTGACATATTTTATCTAATTTCATATATACTAAACATAATTTAACTAAATTTCAGATTTACTTAAAGTCAAGATCATATCCGAATCCTGTAAGGACATCCCGCCAGATACTGATTGTGCTCATTGCAAAAGTCACGTGCTAGTCAATGGCCGTCAACACAGTCTAAACATGCGTGGGATAGATATCGTTCTCTTTGATTTCAGAAGTGGCCTATTTGAGCATAGGATGAATTACGATGTCGGCGGCAGCACAGTACATCAAGACAATTTAGCAACGTTTCTAAATAACCTTCCCCCAGGGAAGATCCTGTTCATGTCAGCAAAGGATGCAGTTAACATGAATAGTGGTCTAGCTCTTGCGCTACAAAAGATTGGTGTTTCTGCAACATTTGCAACTGCCCCTGTTCCAAATGTCAATATGTCTCTGGCATATGTTGGCTATACAGGACAGGTGAGAAAAGATTGGGAGAAATCTGTTAACAAGATTGGGGGGTCAGGAGCTTCAATTATTGAAGTTAACATCAAAACCTTTCATGAACGGGATGGAATTGATGACTGCTCAAATGAACTTGGAGTAAGAACCAGAAAAATACCGGATTCTAGGTTTTATGCAAGGACAAGTTGGAATAATGACATCGGCCACATGCCTCATATTGCTAGATTGCATTCTTCTAAACCGGGATGGTGTTCAGGTACTTATGTACCGGTGTCGGAATACTTACAGGTGGATCTCGGAACCAGGAAAATATTAAATGGTGTTGCTATTCAAGGTCAAGGTATAGACGGCAGACATAGAATTTCTAAATTTAAAATAGAGTACAGTAATGACGGAATAAATTGGGAGTTTTACAATAGAGGTTTAAGCTCCGCTGTGGAATTGGACGGTCTACAAGGGGAACATACTGACCAATTTGAAACAAAGGTTAACTGGCTTCAAAACATACAAATGAGGTTCATTAGAGTTGTTCCAACAGCAAGAGCTACTGATTACTCGACCTGTTTGAGAATGGAGTTATTTGGATGTTCCATATCAAGAAGTTTTGTAAGTGTAGAACTTTGGCCATCGTCTAGCATGTTTGTGAATGACATATTCACAGGTACAATATCTCTCTTCGGTACCATAACGAAAAACATGTCAGTTCATATTTCTACGGCCCCAGATTTCTCTAGCCTTGCGACAAGCAATGATCAGTTTCACTTTCGCAGGATAAATGCATCGACAACAGTTGATAATGGAACTGTCATAATGGACAATGGTGAGATGAACCTGCTGACCGACTGGACTAGAAAGTTTGATAATGAAGCTCTGATTCAGTTTGGTTTAAAGGGAGATATTTACTATGCATTTGAAGTCGACTTTGTCGGAAAGGTAGGCTTTGTTAAATTTTTTAAAGAATGATTTTCTAGCAAAAGATGCTGCTACCTATGCAGTATATCGGTATTAGAACCGCCCAGTTAACTCTTCTCGTGGTTTTACTTTCTTTCTTCAGATCATCTAGTTTTTCACAATTTTCTCTTTGTTTCAAAAAAGGATAGAAGAAATCATGATAACTCTCGATATTTTATTCAGGCCTTCCACTTGCAGCTTTTTTATCATGTTCGTACATCTCAATCAAATTGTTGCGGAGCTGATAATATTTGTTAATATACCGTCAGCGTTTCTTGATTGAACTGAGCATGTTTTCTTTTTACAAAACGTCACTGAAGCAACCGCTCGATGATTGCAAAAGCATCGTCTTAGGAAATATGTACCAAACTTCATGCTCGTATCAAAAGATGTCATCAAATTTGAGAGAGGCTGGTTGCTTGCAAACATTAAGTTTAAACAGAGATGACTTTTTGGTTGTGGGTTAAATCGCATTGATGTATTATTTTACAATAGTTCACTCAGTTTGCAAGCTCTTTCCGACGCTATTATCGGATTTGAAAACTTCGATGATCAAACTTTTTGCTGACCGTGCATTTTTCACACGTCCTGAATGGTGACTTCCATCATGCTCCATAGGGTTAAAATTATAAGTGGCCCTTACTTGTATGATAAACCTTTCAAAGTTCTTGTTGGTAGATTGGTAGATGGTAATGCGAATTGCCTATCTTTTATTCAAAAACAACAAATTACAATGGCTTGATTGGGAAAGAGCATGTGATCATATAGCTATGTCAGTCAAAATTTGTACATTTTGAGGAATTTCATTCTACACGCCCAGAGTGTGGAAAAACGTAAAGCGACGATAATATCAAGTCATTTGACAGGCAACGTCATCTTTTCAGTTAGGAGTTTTGTAATCTGTCTACATCAAACAAAAGATCTCGACTTGTGTAGACAGAAAGCGTTCTTTTCTCTCTTGGACACTTCAACAAGGTGAGAGATTAGCGGTCGCTGATTGGTCAAAAACAAACAACAAATCAAATGTGTCTTTCTTCCTATCACATTACTTCCGATCAACAAATGGATAAGAATTTTTAGCTTACTTTCGACCATTATCTGTCGTTTATATTTTGAAGAGTGCCTGTCTTAACCCTCTTTATTTCCGCCAAAATGCGTTCTTGCTTCATCCTTTCTCCGAACCGTGCCGTTTCAAACTCCTTTTCGTGCTCAAAAAGCTTCTGTCTTATCAAAAATTCCTCTAGAATATGAAATTGATATGCAATCATATGTTGAGTTCAAGATGACCTCATCTTATATGCCAAAAAGCTTACCATTTAAAAAATAAAAATACACACATCTATTGAAATATTAAATTCTGTGTTTTACCTATATGAAGACCTAACAACTAGTGGCTCTCGCGATGTGGCCAGTAGGCGAAAGAAAGGAGAGTGACTTTCAAAGACTTTATTGTTTTCAGGCAATTTGTGACAGTCAAATGTTACTGCAGCAGCAATGACCTGAATTTGTAGCTGGTCAAAACCTTATAAAAATGAATCTGAGAAAGCTGTAGATTCCCCTCGTTAAAGTAAGACACCATGTTGTTCGAACTTCTCAAACATTTGCATAAGGATAGATTAAATTTCGATAATCCACGCGCCATTAAGCCTGCTTTTCATATATCGTAACCCGTCAGCGATGATCCCCCGATGAACAACATTCCTGATGGTCGGGGACCATCCCCGATGGTCGGGGCGATCCACGATGCTATCAAAAATATTGAAGCGCCAAAACTATCATTTTGATGAAAGTTTGGGAATATGGCTGCTGATGAAGGCGAATAGTCAACTTTTGATAATATCATCGATCTATGATAAACACATTGATAATTTCGGGATATATTTGCAAATGAAAATTCATTACAACAAAGTAAGAAACTTTCCCCGCGCACCCGTCAGAAAAATATTGCTCTAGAAGAAGCCATTGTTACGATGAAGATAAAAAAGTAGTGGCAAATTCGGGTATGAATTTTCTTGGAAAAATGCCTGTTTAGTGGATTATGTAATGATCGTGACATAGCTAAAGATTCACCCTGATTCACCTTTAAAAAATGATGAAACTCAAACTTAAGACTAGGAATCAAACTAGGAATTAAAGCTTCCTTGATGTTCTCTGTACTATCGAAAACATTCCAGTTTTTCCGCGAAACAGTTACCCTCCCTTCAGTTCAAATGAACATTTTTATTACAGAACATTCCTGATCCATTGTTCTCTTTACTATTGTTTGTCGGGAAGCGTCGGGAAAGTCAAATTATTTTGACTTTTGCGATGTTTGGGGATGATCGCCGATGGTTCTCGATGACCCGGTTTTCATATGTCATAAACCATCGCAGACTGTCATAGACCATCAGGAAGCTGCATAGATCATCGCCGACGAATTACGATATATGATAACCTGACTAATAGAAAACGGATTTTTCTTATATCTACAACACCTTTTCGTCACGGCTGCTCTAAACGTCAGCGGTGTATTACTTATCGAAGGAGTTCTCTGCAAAAAATGAAGTTTCCGGTTTCAAAACATATATGATTTCCTTCTGCGTCGTTTCGCAATTACACTATTTAATCGCTTATATATTTTTCGCTAATTCAATATAGCTGCTTTTTGATAAAGAAGGAAAGTTTATTCGAATTGGGGATTAAAAGAGCGTTTACTCGAAATAGTACGGTGAACTGTCGAGATAATTAAATCGATCATAAAGAAAAATATTGAAGAAAAATGGGAACTTGCTCAACAAGAGAGAAATAATTAAAAGCAAACAGAAAATTTTGCCTTTAAAGAGAAAGATCAAAGAAAATCGATCAATAGCAACAAAGAAATTTTGCTCAGCAGCGGAAGATGATTCCGAAAAAAGATTAATTAGCATCAGATATTTGTTCTATTTGATAACAAAATATCACTTCTTGAGTCGTCTTACAAATTTCTTTTATGAATTATAACTCTATGCTTTGGTTTCAAGGTGGTAGACGCTGCACATCCAATGGGCAATACCTTTCTAACTATAACCACAGAAACTGAGGCTGGAATCCTGGCTTATTCAACAACGTTTCAAATCAAAAGATCCACGACAGATTCGAGCAATCTTCGGTTTAATTTAACAACGTTCAATTTGGATAATTTGGTTGAAAACAGCTATCTTTACCTAAACCTCTCAATTTCCCATTTGCTTGGAAAAAGTAACTCAAATGCTTATGGTGTAACTCTCATGATTTATTTCAATACCAAATTTCTTCAGTTGAAATCACTGGCATTCGTCAACACAAGTCGCTTCAGTCTACCCCCGTCCAGAAACACAACCACGCCTGGGTTTATTATGATTCAGACTGATACACTGTGGCTGCTGAACAGGCAGGAATTTTCGATAATACTTCAGGCAAAATATCCAAAGTCTATAACAAGAGGTGAAAACTGCAATGAAGATATCATCATTGATTTTGCGTATAAGAACAACTTGGCAAAATTCAATGGAACTGCGAACTCGACTTTAGAGAGGAATGTGCCATTCAAATGCAAAAT